TTGTGTGTCAACATACTTGGCCAATAAAGCTGATTCTGATTCTGATTACACATTTATCAGTTTGTTTATTGTCTCAACCCTCTGATGCTGAGTTTCAAATAAGTTAAACCATTAAAGTTCAAACTTTTTATGTGGAGGACAGCATTTTCCTTGTCACAGTGCCAGATAAACAAACATTTTGGCTCTTTGGCTCAACCATTATTACTTTACTCTACAGGTACGGGAAAAACGACCACGTTGATCAAATATGCTGAGCAGCGTCCGTATCTGCAGTTCCTCTACGTGGCTTTCAACAACTCTGTGGCTTTTGAGGCACGGCGCCGCTTTCCCTCCAACGTGGACTGCAGGACCGTCCACTCGTTAGCTTACAACGACATTGGCAAGAGGTGAACTAGCAGTGTTTTTAAAATCCATCAAGTTTCTGATTTGCAATGCACTCACCTGTCTGTGCTCTCCCACATGGCAGATATAAACTTAGTGAAAAGCTGACCTCAAACCTGAAGCCGTTTTCCATCAACTGTGCTCTGGAGACTGGACGTGGCGGCTTCGCCAAAGCTAAAGTCGTAACCACAATCCTCAACACGTTCATGTCGTCAGCAGACCCAGTCATCTCTCCCCTGCACGTCCCCAATGACTACGTCTGCAAAAAGGACTTCAGGAAGGTTATAGATTCTGAAGAGAAAAAGGTACGGGTTCAGTGTGAATAAATGAAGTAGCAGCAGAAACGCTGAGTTCAACAAATCATATGTTTGTTTTGTTTTAGTTGTTTATCCAAGATGCAAAGATGATTTGGAGCAAAATGAAGGACGTCAAGGAGAAATCCAAGCAGGCGTATTTCATGCCACATGATGGTACAGCAACTTGAGTTAAGTGAAATCAAAGGTATTTAAGAAAATTAAGACCCAGGAGTTCTTCTTTTTTAGGATACCTGAAGCTGTGGCAGCTCAGGAAGGAGAAGGTGCGCCTGGCCGACCAGTACGACGCCATTTTTATTGACGAGGCTCAGGACTGTACACCCGGTACAGTAGAATTCATTCTTTCACGCGAAAGAGCTCTGCTGCTCTTAGCTCTGTTACGTTAACCTGTTTAAAGAAAAAAATATCTATATGTTCTTCTGTCCCAGCCATCATGG